TTATGAACCTCCTCATTATACAGTTTTCTCCACCCGCGTCACTTCCCCCCTCTTAGGTCCAGACATTTCCCTCAGCACCCTCAGTGTGACAGCATACTAAACAGTGGGTAAATTTAGTTTTGTATGTTTTTACCTTCATGTTCCTGTACAATTGTAGATGTCATATGAGGCCCTGAGTGGGGCCTGAAAAGAAATGTGATTACCCTCCATTCGACGTCGAGCGTATACAGAAAAAGTTAACGAGATATGAAAGTCAGAAGCTGCTTGTGGTACTGTCACGTGACTGACTACAGACGGGGTTTGCATTGGTAATCTGATTCATTGGACACTTACAGAGAGTAACTACAAATAACTACGATAATTTTACTCAGTTACACACACTCCAAAATCACTGCAACTACAGCATACATAAAGTCTTCTCACTCTTCACTAGCCGTTGCTTGGTAGTGGCTCCAACGGTGGACGTTCCCCTTCCTCTGGGTTCCCGAACTTTCCCTGGCCTCAGTTACCAGCTTCTCACTTCTCACAAGTGACTCAGCCAAACACTCAAATCAAAGACAAAGTTATGTTGGCAAGTCTGTCTTGGCGTCAAACATCCATCTGGGGCCCAAGACCAGATTTTCGTTACTGTCAGCCAGTTGCGGGGTTGTTGATGTGGGGCGCCCTCTCTGAAGAGAGGAGGAGTCTACCGTTTACAACTTCCGCTGGTCCTCGCCAGCGCAGTCATTCTCTGGTCCAAGTCCAACAGGGCTCATTATATCATATTTTACTGTCTCAGATTCAAGGCTCACCCAACCTGGAGGACCATGTCCCTGCCTTTATATCCCCCAGGAACAGGGTGACCCAGTTATACCCCCAGGCACTGAGTTTCCTTTTCGTCCCCTCCTACGTCTCGCAGGGCTACGGTGGAGGTATTCGAACCGCCACCACCTGTCAAAGTCCAAGTCACATTGCGACTGACGGTCAGTGAGTCAGCAAGTCTTGCTTTCGAGCCCCAGATATTTATTACTGTTTGACAGTTACGGTCTTGATTTTGTGTGGCGCCCTCTCTGGCGAGAGGACGGGTCTGTCTTTTGTATATGCTGCTGTCCCTTGCCAGCAGAGTCCTTCTTGGGTCCGAGTCCCTTGGGACTCGTGACCATATTTTACTGTCTTAGAATTGAGACTTCCCTTTTCGTCGCCTTTTACGACTCGCATCACCTGAACTGCTAATCCTCGTCATATAGTCTCGGCATGAACCGCACAGAAAACATCTCTTCCATTATTGCGTGTTCTCTCGTTTCCGGGAAACGTGTCCACAGAGCTGTTCCCTAGCAACGGCTGTTTACTGTCGCCTGTTTACACAGCTGTTACTCAGCAGTGGGACTACAGGTCACAGAATATTCGTAAGTAAAATAGAGAAGATGAAGCCCCTCTGTAGAGATATTGTTACCTGTTCTGGCGCTTCGAATAAATCTTTGACTGAAGACGAGAGAACTCCAGCACATAAGAAGCAAAGTCTCCAGAGAGCAGCGCATGTGATTATAGTGGACTGTTGGAGAGGGAAACCCCAAACTGGTGGCGAACACAAGAAGGTTCCGGTGACAACAAGGGATCAGTAAGTCCGTTCCCTTGCTCTGATGCCCCACAGGCATGGGAGGGGCAAATAATATACTAGGATAATTCTATATTGCTAGCGAGTCTTATGCTAGAACAGAAAATATAATTTGTTAAGAGAAAAATATGTATTTCAGATATAGGAAAGAATAGGATCGCGTCTGTGGTATTCCTGTTAGAGTTCCTTACTACAGATCCAGAGGTCCCGGGTTCGATTCACGGAACTATCATATTTTCTGTGAAGTAGTGCGTCTGTAACGTGGTCCACTCAGCCTCATGAGGATAACTGAGGAGCCACTTCAATGGAAAAGTAGCGGCTCGGGTCTAGAAAACCGAGATTAACGGCCGTGGGAACCGTTGCTCCGACCACGCGACACCCCTCTATCCGCAAAACTTGGCACTAACTTCGTCTACAAGCGGCGATCGCTCGGTCGGTATAGTTCCCCTGTGGACCAAAGGCCACGGAGGAAGGGAATAAGGCATTTATATTCGATATCAATGCTTCTAAATTAAGGGCAATGCCTCGGCATTAAAAAAAGGAGCCCAGGGGCGCAGTACTCAACCAACTTCGCCAAACTGAAACTTTGTATATGAGTACATACGTTGCACACGATGCATCAGAACCTATCTGGTATCTACATGACTATGAGTGGCTCTTCTTAGCGAAGTAGATGTTAGATCTTGAAGTAAAGGGTTAGCTTTTAAGGGGTTAAGAGGACTGGCAGGGAGGGGGACCTTGCGGGTTACGCTCGAGTACGCCAAGTTGACGAGGTTGTTAGCACGAGAAGACGCCTGGGACTAATTTAACTCGATGCAATGTCTCACGGTCCGGATAAATGGAGGGAGACGCCGAAATGACAAGGAGAGATGGAAGTGAGAACAAACACAAGAACGAATATGCAAACGAACGAAGAAATAAAATGAAACGAACAGAGTCTAATTTTCATATGGGACGCCAAGTAAACGTAAATGTGAAACAAATGAACACCATAAAGGGAAAGATCCGGAAGAAATCGACTGCTACAGGATGTTTAACACATAAGAACCCTGCATTCCGCTCACACAGTGTATTTGTGTGTTCCTTATGATTCTCACAATAAACAGCGACTGTTTCCCCAAACAGCATTATCCGGTTGGTCTCTGTAGCGGAGACGTAATGTGTTTCCTGTGAGGTACACACTGAATTCTTATATATAAAGTCTCAGCATTCTGCCCACACAGTGTATCTATATGTTCCGTATGGTTCTCACAGTAAACAGTGACTGTTTCCCTAAACAACATTAACCGGTTGGGCTCTGTAGCGGAGACGTAATGTGTTTCCTGTCAGGTACGGACTGAATTCTTATATATAAAGTCTCTGCATTTTGCCCACACAGTGTATTTGTGTGTTCCGTATGGTTCTCACAATAAACAGCGGCTGTTTTCCCAAACAGCATTAACCGGTTGGTTGTNTTTGATGTTAACAATGGGAGGGCTGCATGTGAGGCATGCAGTGCAACGTGGAATTGGGTACCAACTCAGCATTTGCTCTAGTACCGAGGAAAACCACGGAAAACCTTGGTCGAGCTGGCCGGTCTCAGGACCTTCCGGATACAAACTGACTTCTAGCCAGCAGTCCGGCTTAAATACGCGAACCCTAACATTAGACCCTGTGTGTCCTGTTCCTTTATTTTAAAAAGTTTACATTTGTTTTTCTACAGTTTTTTTTTGGGGCTCTGTAGCGGAGACGTAATGTGTTTCCTGTGAGGTACGGACTGAATTCTTGTATATAGTCTCTGCATTCTGCACACACACAGTGTATTTATGTGTTCCGTATCACTGGACCAATGATTGAGATTAGCTCTTTCTAAGGGGCCCAACTGAGTAGGTGTCTTCCTTTCTCACCTGAAGACGGAATCAGATCCAGTTTCCGAAACGTCGTGTCCTCTATTACCTAGCTGGATGTTGGAAAAAGTCCAAAAACCCAGTAATTTGTGTAGATGCGGAGAGGACCCAAGCATCAGGTAGATTTCTCATTCTCGATGGAACATAAATTGACTCATCATGAAGAAAATAAACAATTTCGAGCAAGGGAGGTACGATTAGTAAGGCCTGTGTTTTACAATTTTTCAGTGCTGGATATTGTGACTGGCTTGTGAGTATGTAAAGAGGAGGCTCTAATAAAAATATTTATTTCTTCTAAGTAAATACGGCGTGTATTATAATTTTTAATCAATATTTTATATTTACGTTTCAGACTGAACAGTGTATACCAGTTTCACCTCTCTTCCTGTCCAATAACAGAATGTACACACTTTCAGACCTGCGAATCGTCCGAATGTTTCTCGAACTGTAAATAATTACGTTTCTGGAAGCCCCGGCTTGAATCTCCCATCGTTTGGAACTCGCTCGAATTTATAATATCGTCAGGTCCTTTGGGAGTTAAACCGAATTGGCGAGATTGTTTCGTGCCAATAAATAATTTATTTACAGCCTCCAGTCGTCGTACCATGTAACACAGTAACGCGCCCTTATGCTGAAGTTGTCCCTGCGCAGTTATTACTCCTGCACATACAGACAGACAGACAGACAGACAGCTAAGCAGGTAATAACAAATTGTGTACCACGATAACAGTTTGGAGTATGTATGAATCATTTTTACAGAATCACGTTTGGAATGCGCAAATGGACAGACTGCAGCCACCTATCACGCTGATGTTTCTACCCTGAAGATGGAGGCGATACGTTCTTCCGAAATGAGAGAATAATCCAGTGCCTGGGGGTATAACTGGGTCGACGAATAAGACAAGCAAGAAACCAGAGTAAGCAGGTACTAAGCAATGGCCTATTCCTCCGAAACGTCGGTTAACCTTCAACGGGCTACACGGCTCTATATCCCATTAGACTGAACTCTTCATAACCACCGGCGCGAGTACCTCAAATCCTAGAAACTATAATGTTTCCTGTTCTTCTGTGTGGGTGTGAAACTTGGTCCCTCATATCAAGGGAAGAACACAGACTGAGGGTGTCTGGAAGGAATGCTCTCCGACGGGAATATTCGCAAGTGAAAGGAGACTGGAGAAAAATGCGTCCTGCGAAGTTTCACAATTTGTACTCTTCGCCAGGAGTTGTTTGGATGATGAAATCAGGAGCAGTACTTAATTTAAGTAACTTTCTCTCCTTCCTGCACTGCTTACCTTCCGCAACTGTTGACCTTCACATGGCCCTTTATCCCTCTTCAGGATCTATGCTAAAGCATTATCAATTTCCTCTCATCCCTTCTTACTCTCCCTTCTTTGTTATTTATTCGCCCAAAGCCCGCAGTTAAACACCCGATGCCTATAAATTAACACTTTTCTGACCTTCCCTAATTAAGAGCTATTTTAAACTTGTAAATTAGGGAGGCTCGTGTATACAGTACTTACCGAGAATGGAGTTTCTGTATGAAGGAGTTGCACCCGGAAGTTAAACTGCGGCCATCAGCTCTGTGATAAGACTCCGCTCCTAGACACACAGAGTTCATTATTTAGTTGGAAGACAATTTTACCCTCGGTACGGAGTACAGTAATAAAACGAAAATGGGGTGGAAGTGGGGAGGGGGAGACATCGCATTTAAAGTTGGAAAAACTTTCTTCTTGTTATGCTTCCCTCTGCTACGTCACTGTCCTCTGTATTTAAATACACCGCTCTGTCTGTCTTCGTCTGCCACAGGCTTCTGCGTTGCGGGAAGTCGCTTGTCAGGTGCTCTGAGGTCAGGTTGTGTTGGTGGCCAATGCAAATCAAAAGGCGCTGTTATTAAAATTACAAGAGGACAGTAGCAGTCATGATAAAGATGATGATAATGAAGCTAAATGAAAATAAGGCGACCAGATATATTAACAAGGCAAGTTGTTTCTTATTAAAATATCTGAGAGAAGAAAGTTACAGGAATGAGGAAATTTCATGACGAATTTCATAACCCTTCATCAAACATTATCAGGAACGTGAAATCTGGAAGAATGGCGGGGCATGTGGCACGCATGCTAGTGATCAGAAAGGCCTACACAATTTTGGTCCGGGATGAGACCGCTTGGAGGACAGACAGGTACACAGGAAGACAACATTGGCGTGCTTTACGAACACGGTAATGAATCGTTGGGGTTCCGTGAAATGCTACGAATTATTTGAGCACCTGAATATTTGTTTTTCAAAAACTCTACTGCATGAATGCAGCCAATATAATGATCATGATAATACTTTCACGTTTTTAGAGTGACCATAGACGGGGTTTGGATTGGTAATCGGATTTACTGAACACTCACAGAACGTAACAAAAATAACTATGCCAGTATCACTGAGTTACACACTCCAAAAATCACTGTAAACATAGCACACACAAAGTCTTGTCAGTTTGCTGTCTGCACCAGTCGTTGCCTGATGACGGATCCCAACAATGTCCTCTACTTCCGTGTTCACGTTCCTACCGGCTGACGACTGACTCACAACTAACTTATTGCTCCAACTGTCTACTCTCATAGTCAAAGTCAAAGTCAAAGTTATGTTACGACCGACGGTCAGTCAGTCAGTCTGTCGGTCGGTTAAACTGCTACTGGCCTTCGCCAGCACAATCATTTCTGGCTTTCCTCCTCAAGATCCATGACGAAGATTTTTATTCTCTCCTATACATGTACGTGTTTCGAAATGGGGCTTCCTCTCCGACGAAGGAGGGGTCGGTGTTTCTGTGTAGGCTCTACGTTTGTTGGGCCGTAGTTTCAGCACGAGTATATTCGCGCTGTCATGGCGTCCAGGTCACTATGGGATCTGTGTGTCACTGCACTGCACTACACTGCACTAAGTAACACGGCTAGGAACACACACAGCGACATCGGTCGTACGGAAAAATGTAGTACGATTTTTTTGCCGTACGACCTCATTTTCACACTAGAGCGACCAAACACATTTCTTTGCTCTCCGACTGCCGTACGGTAGATGTCGCATGTCGTCACGTATGAAAGCTAAGACTACACTTTATATTCTACTACTTGATGCGACATGAACCGTACGGACGTCGTACGACCGATGTAGCTGTGTGTGTGTTCCTAGCCTTATACAGAGGTTTCCTGTCAATGCAGGCTTGTGCGGCAGGTTATGCCTGAACTTATGCAACACTCTGAAACAGCAGTTAGTCAGCTGAACGGTCTTAGGCCTGACCCCCCCCCCCCAGGTTTAAATCTCTATTACTTCCTATGCATGGCTTCTTCTTGTCCAGTAACACGCACATTTGAATTTACATGGTTCAGGATTATTCCTGTGTCCTGCATAATTCAGCTATGCAGGCGTACACCTGAGGAATGTTGAGTGTGCGCCTGTCAAGTTTTCCAGTAGCGTGGAGTTCTCTGTTCTGCAGGCGCTGCAATTTCACGAGGTGAGCGTCAACCGCATACTCCCAGGCGGGACATGCCTCTAACTGATCTACTTATAACATCCCGGCACGGACCGCACAGAAAACGCCGTTCCTCTGTTACTGTTTCCAGTAAAGGCTGTTCTATATTTGCTTATCTCGCGGTCGTTGCCTAGCAACGGGTCTATATGCCATAATTCTAACAACAATGAGCTGTGGAATTTGGAACAGTTACTTTGTATTTCAGAGGCCCTGAATTCGAATATTGGCCCCATGACAGGCTACTCTACGTTATTCATGATTTTACTACGTTTCTCTACCGAACTGAAAGTACGCTAAATTATAAGAATGACAGCTTTGTTTCCTGTTCTTGTTAATTTGTTATTTACACCTGAAGGTCTGGGATGAAACTACAGACTTACTGCAAATTCAGGTGACAGAAGGTAACTAAATAAAAATAATTTTGTAATGGAGACACATGTTTCGTGTGATGTATGAAATGAATATTACGATAAACTTCTGACGTCAAACGAATGCGGCCTGATGACAAACTTCTCTAATAACTCATTTTTATTGTTTCTCCATGGAGGGATTATAAAATTAATATTAAAAATTTATTATATGTTTTCTGGGTCAGTGAGATACGTCATTTTCAAGAGAAAATTTAGCAAAAGGTCACGTGAGAATCGGATTGAATTAGCAGCAGCAGCAGCGCCGCTATGTGGCGGAACTGAACATTAATCCCTGGCAAAATGTTTTCGTTCGGACAACACGGAAGCACGCAAACCTGACATCAGCCCATTACAAAAATTAACCAGCTGTATGAACAAATGAATGCAGTTCAAACGTGAGTCTGCATGGCAGTGCTGCTGGAATCCCAGGAGTCGCTGCTTTCACAGGGGGATATCAGGACACAGGACAATGCAGGTGCTCGGGATTGTTGCTTTCACAGAATTTTGGTTACACTTGTGACATTCGAGGAGGTGTTGAATCAGATGTCTTCTGGGATGTGACGCCGTAGAGTCTGATGACAGGGGAGCAACGTTTGCAGTGTCCAGTTGAATACCTTGGTATTAGCGGCGTTGAACCTTGAGGTTCTGCTACCATAGTTAGTTAATTAGTAAGATGGATCTTAGGGAAAGTTCCTGAGGACGGGAGGTGGATGGAACTGGCTCAGGATCGTGTCCAGTGGCGGGCTTTGGTATTAGCGGCGTTGAACCTTCGGGTTCTGCTCCCAGAGAGTCAGTTAATTAGTAAGATGGATCTTAGGGAAAGTTCCTGAGGACGGGAGGTGGATGGAACTGGCTCAGGATCGTGTCCAGTGGCGGGCTTTGGTATTAGCGGCGTTGAACCTTCGGGTTCTGCTCCCAGAGAGTCAGTTAATTAGTAAGATGGATCTTAGGGAAAGTTCCTGAGGACGGGAGGTGGATAGAACCGTCTCAGAATCATGTCCAGCGGCGTTGAACCTTCGGGTTCTGCTTCCAGAGAGTGAGGCTTGTTACTGTTACACGTGACCCAGAACATTCCGGATTCTGCAACGACGTGTGCCGCGCCTGTCTGCAGGCAACCCTGTAGAAGCCCACTGCTCCTGAATATTTCTTACTTTGAATAGCGATAAGAAAAAAAATTGGCGGCAATACGTTCATTTCTTCTTGTTCAGTGCTATATCTCGCTTAGTTCGTTATATATGCACCAGAGCGCGGGCTGAATATGAAGCAGCGCGAGGGGTGGATGAGATGGAGGTCTGGGAGCGCTTGGGCAGTACGTAGGAGATAAACGGGCAGAATTTGAAGCAGGAGAAACAAGAAATAGCGACGGCAGTGTTTGTGTCTGTGTGTGGCGTACGTGTGCGTAATAAAGTAGTCTTAGAGAGACAGAGGCGTGAGTTATGTTGCCCGCGCACTGTCTGTAACCGCAAACATCTGAATTATGACCTCTCAAACGCTGCGGAAAATTTCGGAATCAGCCTCGGGATAAAAAAGAAAAGAAAAGAGATGCCAACGACATGTGGAGTGTTGGGAAGGAGCGACTTCCTTTACATCAATGTGGCACGCGTGGAGAATTCCAACAATGAAGGCAATGATAACTGTAAACACAGATTTCGCCTTTAAGTCTAAAGAATGGCTGACCAACTAACCGTTTAACTTTCAAAAATCGATACACAGTAATCTTTAAGCGCTTCAAGTTTGAGGAACTTTCAGCGGAAATTTTCTGCAGTCTAACTGCATTTATCAATACTATGTTTTGTTTTTGGAGGGGGCAGTCAGAAGTTTTAGCTATTTGGGTAACTGTGGCATCTTCTTTCACAACATCGCATCACATATGTTAATATAAGAATCCAGTCCGTACTTCACAGGGACACATTACGTCTCCGCTACAGAGCCCAACCAGTTAATGCTGTTTAGGGAAACAGTCGCTGTTTATTGTGAGAACCATACGGAACACAAATACATTGTGTGGGCACAATGCAGAGACTTTATATATAAGAATTCAGTCCGTACCTCACAGGAAACACATTACGTCTCTGCTACAGGGACCAACCGGTTAAAGCTGTTTAGGGAAACAGTCGCTGTTTATTGTGAGAACCATACGGAACACATAAATACACTGTGTGGGCAGAATGCAGAATCACTGAGTTGATCAGACTTCTGTAAATAACATAGTCACTCAATATATGTCCCAAATCACAGGCAGTCGCTTCGTCGTTGAGCTGATTATTCGGTGGCTTGAGTGAGGGTCGTAAAACGTAGGCATATCGATTGTTTTCGATGAATCGACTGTCTGAAGTTCTTAACTGGAGTTTTTATGATTCTCTAGTAAAAGAACTTGGGTCCGAGGCAGTAAAAGTACCACAAAAAGACACACACTAACCCTTTCTTATGTTACTGTGGCGGCTGAAATAAATAACTTGTCAGAAATACAAGAAACCCATATCACTGGTTCGGAAATCTGAAGAGACCACTACAACGAACAGGCGCAGACAGGAGTATAATATTAAAATGGATCTTTGTGAATTGGAGTGTGAGATGATGGCGAAGTGTAAGGAAGTATTACGAGATCTTCGGTTCTATAGACGCAGGCAACATTTCTGTACCTTTGTATCAGATGACATGGCGTCACATTC